TAGGATGTAAAAGCATTTAATTGAAATGGTTTATATATATATATCTCTGGCAGGATGCACTTCCATATAAATTTTACCTAGGTTGATCTTGCATTCATCCCCTTATCTAATGATGTATCATGTGGCTAAACCTTTTGACAGTTGACGCTTAGTTTGCTTCCACTTTATGCAAAATATGTTTTAACAACTGTAATTTGCTTTGTTTTGCATGAATGTGTCACAGGTTTTGGCAGGCTTGCTAAATGTGGCAGATAGAGCTGATTGGAGAAATTGTAAGGATAGCAAAGAAGAAGAAATTAAAATGGTCGAGAGATTCAAGAGTGGATTTCAAGAATATGATCCAAATCAATAGGATATCCAAGAAAGATGCAACACGAGAGCTTTTCCTCTTATGTTCTTCACCTTACACAACGTAGCATTATCTTGAGGTTCTCTTTGCTCCCGGCTTGGGTATAATTGCAAGTATTTGCAGTTCTTCATGCTCATGTACTTGCTTTATGGTTGAACAGTGATATGATTATCTGAAAACACTTTTGCCACAGGAAAGGATGCAAATGTAACCGGATAGTAACTGCACATATTTAGACACCAACATTAGTTCAACAATTTGGTGTTATACTGAGAAATTCTGCACCTATTATGGAACTTCGGTCTACTTGCATAATGGACATTGGCCAAGTTGCTGCTAGGAGGTATAGCAGTTCAATTTTTATGTATGCTATACGTGTTCACTCAGCTTGTCAGTTAGGCTATCGAGATAGTTGGACAAAACGTCGCAGAGCAGAACCATCCACTGTATGAATGTATGAATGGATCATGTATGAGCTTGTGAGTTTGTTTGCAACTGTTTGAGATAAGATGCAATTTTAACTTTATTGTCTGACGGATGTGGTTCTTATTTGTTAGAAACATTACAAACTTTATTGACGGAACTGCTATCATGTTAACTGGTTCGCCAGAATAAAGTTTTATGTATTGTAACAAGTGTTCCTTCCATTCTGGTGTGAGTTAAAAATCGTGGTACAGCAAAAGAATGAATTGCTGCTAAGATCTTGTTGTACAGAAGTCATTGCCACTCTGCGGAACATGTTTACGTCGAGCTTTTTAACTGCAACAACTTAAAAGCTTTTTAACTGCAACAACTTAAATATACGCTATTGGAGCTGGAATTACTGCGGCTGCTGGCACCAGACTTACCCTCCAATGGATCCTCGTTAAGGTATTTAGATTGTATTCATTCCAACTACCAGACTCATAGAGTTTGGTATTGTTATTTATTGTCACTATTTCCCCGTGTCAGGATTGGGTAATTTGCGCGCCTGCTGCACGGGTGTTTAAAAGCATTGTCTGTATATAACTTTACAAAATAGCACGCACTGCAAGGGATAAATTAGCTCAGATTGGCCAAAGTTGCATTAGCGACGGGCGTGGAGTAAAAATTTACTGCACCTAGTATTTATATGCAACCATACTAATTTACTATAACTAGTTTCTACATCGCACGAATATATTCAGTGAGGAAGGTTTATTTCAAAAAGAAAATCAAATTGTCTTCCATTTCTAGAAACACACAAATAACCAGAGACGAATTTCTATACCTACATGTAAATACGAAGAAAACTAGCGTCACCATAAAGTCCCGTCAAATCATTACCGTCTAGAGCTCTAATTTTTCGACCAAAGTAATTGTGAGTTTACCTTTTTGTCATTCCTTTAGAGCATATTCTACGGAGGATAATGTACTATTTTGAGATGATGTAATTATACATATGAATGTTAACCTTGCACATTTATTTCTTTTGATATTGACTTTTCTTTGGCTATAATTAGACGTGTTTTATTGCTCCTCTTTTAAGAGTTATTTTGGTTCTGAACAATTCAAGAGGCTCTTCAAGTCTATCTAAAGATATGTACAACACTTTGTAACAAATATCACTTCAAAAAAGAAATTGAAGTGACAAAGGATTTCATTGTTATCTCAATATAACGGAGTTATATGAACAAATCTCAGATGTACGCTATTACTCCTAAATCATACTATTCTCCCACTATAAAATTATACATATTTGCTAATATTATCCAATTAAGATTAGAAAATAATTAAACAACTTTGACAAAGCAATTAATAAAAATATGACATTTTCCCGTACAAGTCAAGGATATTTATGCTTTTTTCCTACAAAATATACACAAACATATATATGTTGAGACCTTACCGTTCGAATCATATCCACTTACATATGCAAACATAATTACAGAAAGTCTATAACATACATACATACATACATACATAGCTATTGTTTATAATCTAGAGATAATAAGAAATCAGAAAGAAGTATATGAATAATATGTTTTACATCATTTTTGCAACTATCCCAAAATTATTAAATCATTGAACGTATACAATTTTGCTCCACAGGAAGGTGTAATTCTTGACCTAATTTTCTTAACTCCTCTTCTACAAGAAAAAAAGGGACAGATCACCACTGAGAGTAAAACATTAAACATTTGTTTCCCCAAAAATTAGTAAATTCTCTTGAAGTTTAGATCGTTAATGACGTTATTATTGAAAAATTTTGATTGATTATGTTGTTGATTGCTGCCTTCAAGATGTTGGGAATAAACCCCCCACAGAAATAATATTTACGGTAGTAACAGCGGAACAATAATATAGTACCGAGATACGGTAATCAACAAGAAAAAAGACACAAAGATTTTAACGTGAAAAACTCTTCTGAATAAGGGATTAAAATCACGAGCCCGAGAGGAGCAAAGTAATCCACTATAATGAGGAATTTTACACCCAGTAGTTCGAGTAAAATACTCCAGGGACCACTATACACTTAAAAGAAATAATCATCTTTTAAGATTCCCACCTCACTACAATATCTATTTTTCTTCACAGACTACATCGTATAAGAATACCTCACACCATTCTCTAACTCTCAGATATATTTTGCTCTGAGATTGGTGTATGAATGAGAAGTTGAAACCTTCCTTTTATAGGAAGAGTGATCGTCCACTCCAACCAATCAGAAGCATTGGTTCATTTGCAATTTGAATTGCAACTTGCCAATTTGAATTCTTGCAAATTGTTTGGCAAAATCGATTTGGGTTTTAAAATCTAACTTAATCCCTTATCATGGGGATGGACCCCACAATCTTCCCCTCCAGACCCATTTTTCTGAAGGAGGTAACACAGAACTTCTAATTTGAGTGCATGCTGATAAGTTTTTTGTACAATTCGAACTTGTCTCTTGGTACCACCTTGGTCAGCATATTTGCAGGATTCTCCCTTGTGGAGATCTTCAGGACTTGCAGAGATTCACTCTCTACCTTTTCTCAGATCCAATGATATCTCACATCGATATGTTTGGTCCTTGCATGATACATGGAGTTCTTGCTCAAGTCTATGCACTTTGACTGTCACAATAGACAACATACTCCTTCTGATGCAAGTCAAGCTCTTGAAGGAACCGTTTCAGCCATATCATCTCCTTGCTAGCTTCTGTAGCGGTAATGTACTCCGCTTCAGTTGTAGAGACTGCGACGCACTTCTGCAACCTCGACTGCCATGATATAGCTCCCCCTGAAAATATAAACAAATATCCAATAGTTGATTTTCTATTATCATTGTCACCTGTCATATCTGCATCTGTATAGCCTTTCAAGACTGGATCAGATCCTCCAAAGCACAAACAATCTCCTGCGGTACCTCTCAGGTACTTGAGTGTCCACTTGATAGATTCTTAGTGTTCTTTTCCAGGATTTTCAAGAAACCTGCTGACAACATCAACTGCGTGAGCAATATCAGGTCTGGTGCATACCATTGCATATATCAAGCTTCCGACTGCTAAAAAATAAGGAATTATAGCCATGTTCCCTTTCTCTTCCATTATTGTAGGACACATCTTCTTGCTCAACTTCAAATGACTAGCAAGAGGTGTGCTGGCTGGCTTAGCATTCTTCATGTTGAAGCATTTCAATACACGTTCAATGTACTTCTCCTAAGACAACCACAACTTTCTGCTTATTCGCTTTCGAACAATCTTCATTCCCAGAATTTGTTGTGCTGGGCCTAAGTCCTTCATGTCAAAGGACTTAGATAAGCCTCCTTTTAACTTTGCAATCAGCTCTTTGTCTTGTCCTACAATCAACATGTCATCCACATACAACAATAATATAATAAAGTTGTTATCAGAAAATCTTTCGAAGTATACACATGGATCAGAATATGTCTTTATGTAAGTTTGACTTTTCATGAATGAGTCAAACTTCTTATACCACTGCCTTGGTGCCTGCTTCAACCCATAAAGACTCTTATTCAGTCTGCACATCATGTGTTTCCTTTCAGCTACTTCAAATCCTTCTGGCTGCTCCATATAGATCTTCTCTTCCAAATCTCCGTGAAGAAATGCAGTTTTCACATCCAACTGCTTCACTTCAAGATCTAGGCTAGCTGTTAAGCTCAAGATTGTACGAATAGAAGTCATTTTGACAACAGGTGAGAAAATTTCATCAAAATCAATACCTTTCTTCTGTTCGAAGCCTTTAACCACCAATCGAGCTTTATATCTAACCAGCTTGCCATTTCCATATTTTTTCAGTTTAAAGACCCACTTATATTTGAGTGGTCTTTTACCCTTTGGAAGTTCAACCAGCTTGTACGTGTCATTTTTCTATAAAGATTCCATCTCTTCTTGCATAGCTTTTATCCACTGGTTCTTTTCTGGATGGGACAACACCTCCTTAAGACTTTCTGGCTCCCCCCTCATCACTGATGAGGACATACTCCGTGGAAGAGTACCTGCATGACTCTACCCTTAGCCTCTTTGATCTCCTTAGAGGTTGAGGTGGTTCTTCTTCCTGAGTGGGATACTCCACTTGCTCGACATCATCATCAAGTTGCTCCCCCTGCTCGGTAACCTCGTCGGTCGTACTTTCTGCACTTGTGGGATAGTTAGAAGAATAAGGAATGGTAATAAAGTTAGGGATTATACCATTCTTTGTCTTCTCTGATATATCATCAGCAGTTCCAACTTCACTTTCTCGGAAGACTATATCTCTGCTTCTGATGACCTTCTTCTTTATAGGATCCTACAATCTGTACCCGAACTCTTCATCTCCATATCCGATAAATATTCAAGGAACAGATTTATCATCCAGTTTTGTTCTCTGCTCCTTTGGTACATGTGCAAAAGCTATTCAACCGAACACCTTTAGATATGAGAAGGACACCTCCTTGTTGGTCCAAACTCTCTCTGGGATGTCAAGTGCCAACGAACTGATGGACTCCTATTGATCAGGTAACAGGCTGTCTGAACTGCTTCACCCTAGAATGACTTAGGCAGTTTAGCCATTTTGAGCATGCTTCTCACCTTCTCCACAACAGTACAGTTCATCCTTTCGGCTATGTCATTGTGTTGTGGGGTTCCAGGAATTGTCTTTTCATATCTGATCCCATGGCTCGAACAATATTCTTCAAATTCCCTTGAAGTATACTCACCTCCATTGTCACTTTGGAGATGCTTTAGCTTTCGACCCGTCTCCCTTTCCACTAGAGCATGAAACTTCTAGAAAACTTGAAACACCTGATCTTTGCTTTTTAAGATATAAACCCATAATTTACGTGAAGCATCATCAGTAAAAGTAACAAAATATTTGTTACCGCCCATCGATTCAATTTTTATTGGACCACAAACATCAGAATATACTAAATCAAGTATATTTAATTTTCTTTCAGACAATGTCTGAAATGAGACTCTATGTTGCTTACCAAATAAACAGTAATCACAAGGTTTTGCCGTTGTACCTTTGGCATAAGAAATGAGTGATTTCTTGGCAATAATTTGCAATCCCTTCTCGCTCATATGACTCATTTTTTTGTGCTACAAATCTGCAGAAATCTCATTTTGTGTCGCGTGCAATTCACTTTAGCATATTTTTGCATTTGTCTTATACAACGTGCCACAAGCAACACCCTTTTCAATCACCAA